TCGTATAGCGCTGGTACCAACTTCACAATGAGGGCACACACCTCTATGGGTCAGAAGCTGTCGAATAGCGCTGGTACCAACTTCACAATGAGGGCACACACCTCTATGGGAGAGAAACTATCGAATAGTGCTGGTACCAACTTCACAATGAGGGCACACACCTCTATGGGTCAGAAGCTGTCGAATAGCGCTGATACCAACTTAACAATGAGGGCACACACCTCTATGGGAGAGAAACTATCGAATAGTGCTGGTACCAACTACACAATGAGGGCATACACCTCTTTGGGAGAGAAACTATTGATTAGTGCTGGTACCTACCTATCAATGAGGGCACACACCTCTATGGGAGAAAAACTGTTTGTTAGCTGTTTGGTCACCTCTGTCGAACAGAAGTTGTTGAGACATGGGACCGGCTTTTAACTCAGAGATCAAATGTGCAAAGGACAGATATTAAGGCTGGTTACCTACCTTACACTGAGGGCAGACACCTCTGGAGGACAGACATCCTCAGGACGAGGCGGAGGGCTGGTTACCTACCTTACACTGAGGGCAGACACCTCTGGAGGACAGAAATCTTCAGGACGTGGTGGAGGGCTGTCGGTCAGATGTGCAGCAATGAAGTCAGGGCGCAAACATGATACATTGTTACTGAGGAGTACCTCCAGGTCTTCCTGTAACCAATGAAGATGGGAAATGTTCAATCACTTCTTATTGATCATTGGTTGATCAGATGAAAGCATGATAGGGCTCAAAACACTGCCATATTGCTAGTTAATTCTACATCATCAGTATTAAATTGTAAAATTCAATCAAATAGATTACAATAATCATCCAAATGTGTTCATCTATTCTGTCTTTAAAAAGTTTATTGCAATTTTTTGAATTATTCAACATTCAACACTGTCTAGAAAATGACAACCAATCAGAATTGAGGAATTACCTGTGACCTCATTAATAATATCCGAAAACTTGGCGAGTCATGATATTTATTATGAGTGTATACCCCTATACATGCTAAGTCTAGTTCAACATTGGCGAAAAATGGTATCATCTTGGCCTTAGTGTGTAGAGTCAATACTAAGTATGACATTAACTGTTACTTTTAGTAAATCAAATATGCATGGCTAGTGTAAATGTTTTCTTCTAAAAAAAATAGCTTATGATGGGCTCAAATAAAGTGCTCAACATTTTTTCCTTTCTTTTCTATGGCACTTTTGAATTTGATTTCACTGATTGAGATACCTCAGGGAAGTGAGAACTTCTGTGACATGTACAGGAGAAACAATCGTCACACTTCACATCTTCTCAAAACCTTGCCACATATCAGTGAGAATCCATCATACCAAGTATGACTTGATCAAAGGGAGACCACCGATGAGAACTTCATCTTACAGTATGTATACCAAATAAAAGATTTTTGGGGAAAAAAGTCAGAATATGTAACTGTTAACAACTGACCTGTGACATCTTGTACTTGGACAGCTCTATGAAGGCATGTGTAGCAGACAGTGACCTTGAGAATGGTGGTCTGAAACAACGGTTTGTACACCAACATCAGATCAACTACATTACTTCTCCATCTATTTCAACTAGTTTGTTTGTAGTTTGAAAACAGTTACTAAAATGGTTAATTTCATTACAAAATTTATTAATTTTTTTTTTTTTCTTCATTAAACAGAAATTATAATTTCCAACAATAGATAAGAACAATACACTGGAACAATGGTCAAACTGATCATTAAAACGGCCCATTCCTTTTCATAGCAAATTTCTGATTGGTAAAACGGTGAATAAAATTTGTTTTATTTGTAATATATTGAAATGTTTGAATAAGAAAATCTTGAAGTGCTTCTGTTTTCCTACAGTATACCTACTTGTTGGTGAGAACAGTGGCGCCTCCTGCAGCCAGTAATCTGCGGAAGCTTGATTCCTTGTTTGGGTCAGCACAGAGTAGTACTTTCCAGCCACTGAATGCTCCAAAACAGGATCCCGACCTCTGTCAAAAGCAAACATATACAGTGCTTATAGCCAAGACATAATTCGCAGTTAAAACTCTAATTGGACAAGATATTTTTTCTCTTAAGGAAAAGTAACGTCTCAGTTTGATATTATGTCAGCGAACTTTTACATTGAACCTATTTTCTTTGCACAAGAATTAAAGGGATGTTTTTTTTCGGAAATGTTCATAACCATCTGTTACTGTTTTGGCAATTGAGTCCTGTATATGAAAGTCAATGAAGTCCTGTTGGGAAATATCTCCAACAGACATTCTTTAATGTGTCTTTACTCTTTCCTACTTTCCCCTCCCTACGAGTTGTTTTCCTCTACCTGTCGCTCCTCGTCCACTGAAACCCTCCAGGAGTGTGCGGCCGCAGCGAGCTTGACCACCACCTGGTTCTTACTACTGGCCAGGCTGGAGGTGCCCTCTCCTCCCCACTCGTATAATGCCTCCTGTCAGTCAATTCAAATACAAATTCAATTACGTACATTTCCTGTTTTTATCAGAAATATATTTTTCCTTGAGAAATAACTTGATTAAACTGGAATAAGAGATCTGGGGCCTGTTTGTTTATCTGGAACAAACAAACGGTTTGTCTGTTTTTAAATGTAACATTTTTGGGTACAAATACTGGCAGACCTGCAAACGTTTTTGCAGGCCTTACAAGACTTTGTGAAGGCTTGCCTGAAAGCAGAGTCAGATTAATAGGGACAACCTTATTTCATAAAAGAGAACAACTCTGGTCCATCCGGTTTAATGGGTACAAAAACAAACAAAAAATTGCTCATAGGACTGTAAATCTCAATTTGTTACTTTGACATTTACCAAGTTTAATATGAATTTGCTACTTTATGTAGTAATTTGTTTGAAAGATTGGTTTTTATACATGTACTGGCAAACCTGCCATCCTGTCAGACTTACCGGTACAAACTTGCCTTCCTGTCGACAGGCCTCAAAGTAAGATTTGTGAAGCACCCATTTCCCTGATGCAACGCTAGCAAGAAACTTCTCGTTGCGAGATGGCAGACCTAAAGTCAGAATGTATATTATGAACATAGGAACTACAGGCTAAATGGTAAAAAAATAGTCATTCAGATTCTGGAATTAGATATAGACTCACTCACCAAACATGAAGCATTCATGATCACTTGCTTTTAAAGCTTCACACTTGCATTGACACTTACCTATAACCAGGTGAGTACAGGCAGAACTGTACATCTGGCCGTCCAGCATCTGTCCCCCTAGCTGTTCCACAAGCGCACCATAGTGGTCCTTTTCCTGCAACAGAAAATAGGACTTGAGAAACACAGTTGAAAATCAGAAATTGTTGTCCATTGCGGCTTGCCAATCAGAAATGTGAAGTTAACATGCAGCAAAAAACAATGTGCATTGTCCCTAACCTCTGGAACTAACCTGGGTATGATTAATGAACAAAGGGCCATAACTGTAGTAGATAGGCATACAACCTATTTCAATATGCAACACTGCCTTCCCAAGAGGTGCTCGCATACAAAACTTGGAAAGTGTAGTTGACAAAGTATATGGATATACCCCAGACATAATGATGTACTGACTAACTGACAGATCAAGCATAAACCTGTAGTTATAATAGAAGTCCAGACCGAGCATAAATCTATAGTTATAATAGAAGTCCAGACCGAGCATAAATCTATAGTTATGATACGAGACTAACCATCCTCGACACTCCAGGAGTTACGCTCACTTTCGCTCTCTGCACCCCTGGAACATTATTGAACAAAATCGTAACAAAATTGAAGGCTCAGTGTGCGCCACCTTGTTGATGAGACAAGAAGACTAGTTCGATCCTTTGATGTACATATGGACTGACTTTGAAGTCGGGTGTCGTCCCTTTGTAATGTTCAAAGAACAGATATCAACCTAGCGATTGGTCAGGTTTGTTTTTTTAACCCGAGACCAATCAAACAGCTGTCTTTGTGCCTTCAATTTTGCTATTACATATTCCAGGGGTGCAGAGAGCGTAAGTGAGAGTAACCCCTGAATACTGAGATTGGGAACTATCACCTCAGTAGTAGAGCTGTAAAGAAGCACATTTTACTGTTGAACTTACCTCTTGTGATACTCCAGACAGCAAGAACACTGGTGTAGGTCGAGCTGTCTCCTCCTTGGCCTTCTCCTCAGCATCACTCACTGCGACAACTGGTTCTGAGATATCTCCCCTAGTGGAATGTCTGGGCTTGGGGAAGGCTGCCAGAACCAAACATATACATAACAACAAGAAATACAGGAGATATCTGCCATTGTATACACATATATAGTACTACTTGGGGTGATCCATTTGGACCAAGGGACTCAAAATAAAGGAAAGTTTTTCTCTTGCCTCCTATTAAACCAGGCATTCAATCAAATCTATTCGAAATCTGTTTGGTGGTTTCAGAGAAGATGCAAAATATGAAAATAGTATGACAGCAATAGCTTACTTCAGCTTAGGCAAGGTAAAAATTGAATAGAAAAGAACAGATTGGTCTTAAAGTACAACGGAATTTTAGACAATACTTACCCAGAGCTGGAGCTTCAGGAGTCTTTATTCTGTCATCTTCTGGGTGTCGGTCAGGTGTCTTACCCTATAAAATAACATATTTAACATTATTAAAATCAGCAGCAATGCTTAACCTTCCATGAGTTACATTGGTCTGTAGCACAATCACTCACATAATATGATTATTTTTATCAAGTAGCAAAATTTCAGTCTTTAAATATTTTCTTTGTCATCCATAGAAAACATACATGGTAAAAAGGCAGTTTTTTTAAACAAAAGGACCAAGGCAATTACACAAAACATTGGTGGACATGAGACCTCTTTTTACACAATTACAATGCATGTCATATTGGCGTTAATAGACGACTGTCAATTTTTACACTTTTTAAACGTTGAAAAATTATATTAAGAGGGCTTAGATATAATTTTGTAACAATATGATATGAAACAAGAGATATTTTTATGTAGGCCTTACATAATGAGGAAGGTGTGGTACAGGCTTTTCTTCCTCTTCCTCCTCCTCCTCCACCTCAGAGAACTCAGCATCAAGGTAGCCCGGGGGCAGGGCAGGGTCCTGTGTCGGGCTGCATGCTCTCTCCAGCTTGTGAGCCAGCTTCTCCTCCTCCAGTCTGAAGAGTAGTATAGTTATTAGTTAAAACAATACAACCAGCACTTCCTTTGTCTATGGAGTTCACAACTCTATCCAGGGAACAAAACCGTGGCCTTGACCTTTAAATGATGGTCTTGGATGATGCATACTACAGTTTCACCAAAAACACTTCAGCCATTCAAAATGAGAAATACTTAGAACAACAAAAAGTTAGTTATATGACCAATGAAATGACAGAAACCTTATATGATGTCTATGGTTTAAACCAGGAGAGATCTTACCTTCCTGTGGGATCATCCCAGGTGATCTGTACACTCTGTGAAGCCTCGGGGCCCGAGTTGTTCTCCAGGGACTTCCCTATTGGGTACAAACACAACACACAATATCACTATTCATAAAAGTACTTCAAGATAATTTAAGCAATTAACTATTTTCTTTGAAACATTTCCAATCAATTACTTAATGTTCTGCTTAATCAGATTAATTTTAATGAACTCAAAGCCATTGCCAATGTCTCCCATTGTGAGTTGAGATGGACGAAGGAGTAGGGCAACATTTCTGCATGTCGTTAAAAGCCATATGTTCCATGGGGCAGCATGTATTTATATACTAACCCCCAGTGGTCTGTCTGCTGTTCCTTCGCTCATTCTGGCCAGACTGCTCGTCTAAAAATACAACACACAAAGGGTCACTAACCACATATCAATAGTCCATCAAGACAGCCTGGGAATAAGTAATCTCTTAATCCTAGATGTAGTTTTACAGTTATAACAAAAGTCTGTAAATAATGAATCCTATATGTTTGTCACACTATTACTCTAATACCAGCTAGGATCCTCTAAATATTTACAAAATGTCACCCTGATTCAAAGATCTTAAAATTAGAACAGTCGCAGTCTTATATCGTAGTGATTAGAGATCATGAATTTTGACCCTATTTAATTATATCATACAAACTATTGTGATAAATCATATACAACTACTCCTACTGTTTAGTACATGATGGTCACTTGATGTATATAATTTTGCAAATAAAGCTTTACGATGGAACAGAGAGCAACACAAACAGGCTACAATGGAGAGTACAGAATAGAAACGCCACAAATATCTCTTCAGATGACAAAACAGTCTACATACCTTGAAGACTCCAGCGGTTCTGGTGGGAAGGGGGACGACTATGGTTACTGTTCCGTCCCTCCCCCGACAATTCCCCCGATGTCTCTCCCGACATGTTCATCTGTCCGCTGGCTGTTACAACAAATAATTAACACTCACATCAACTATCGAAGTATTCACTCTACTCAATAAAACTATATTTTTCCTCATTTGTGTTTTCATTCAAACTTATTCATTTAGATCTTGGAAACATTTCTAAGACTTCAACAGGGCCTGGTAATATCTTCAGCACTTTATTCGACTTTGGGATTTACAAATTCTCACAAAAACAGCTTTAAAGATTATCATTAAATCACATGTAACTCCACTCCACATATTAAATATCTTCATACTTACAGTTCAGCCTTTTACTTTTTCTCCTTGTGTTTTTCTTAGCTCTGTAAATCAAACAGGAAACATTCAATGACCTCAATAATGACCCAGAAAGGTATGTATTATATTTGTTGATAATAATCACCTCTGAGAAATCCATTAGGATTTTTTTTCTTCTTTGAAATCTAATTTGCAGGTATAATAGATCAAGTTATTTTTTACCAATCACAATTTCTTTTAAAATTATAAAACATTTCCTATTCAGTGGAGTATTGTGAGAAAAAAATTACATCAAAAATGAACCTGTCACAGTAAATTCTGGATAAAAACGTTAAAAACACAAAAATAAAACTTACTTTGATCCCATCATTTTCTCAAGCTGTTTGGAGAGGACTTCCCGAAGCTCCAATGTTCCACCGATTTCCAGTCCCTCCTGTTGGGTCGAAACAAAAACGGATGAAACAACTGTTTGCAGTACTTTAAACGGTCAAAATAATGATAGACTAATTAGTGGCTGTTTTGTATTGTAATATAAACAAATTGAGCAGGGGCTCACAAAGACATACTTCCCCAACACAGTGGTCAAGTGTAACCTTTGACCCTTTAACCTTTATGACCCATAACCACCCAAATCTTACAGGTGTAGCACCTGACATTACATGTTGAGGGGTTTGTGTGATATTTTGTACAGAACCTTTTTATGATGAACGGACACAAAGATAAAGCAATTACTTTACTACTTACATCCTCACTCCTACCCGCGTAGGTAGTGTAACAACTCTGTATCTTTCTTCACTTTTCTTTGCAGATATTTGACAAAGGCTAAAGGCCAGTTCGGCATTTAAACAAGGGCAATAGATATTGTTTTTTCAGAAGTAATTGGCTGTAACCAAGAATAGCAGTTTATTTGGTGGCAAAATTAGCTCATGTTACATTTATGTTGAGATTTAATTACCGTTTCTTTGGCACCGCCTTCTTGTTCCATGACCTCTTCTCCTGACTTCTGCCCTTCCTCTTTTGGAGATGTGTCTGGTTTAGTCCCCTGAGGTGGTGAAGATGATTCAGATCTTAATGGCGAGATTTCTTGTTTAGTATCGGACTGGAGGTCCTCAGTTTTGGACAATGCTGGCTTAGAATTAATGCTTTGTTCTGGTTTTGGTGATGGCGATAGCTGTTTTGAGTGCGAAGTAGACGTAGTGGTATTTGAACTTGAGGCAACCTCCTCTCCCTTCCTCGAACCAGCTCGTCCTGCCCGGCGACTCGCTCGGCCAGGTGTCTCCGTCCGTTTACTGGTCACCACAGACTTTAGACAAACAACAAATACAAACATTAAAATACAGCATAGACAAAGTTATCCCTTTTATCCATTAAATGTTTTACTTATAACTTATGGCAAACCCAGTAGTAAACTGATGAAATTCAGGGAATGACCCAATGACTCTTTTAGTGCATCACCATAATGTTAAATAGACTTGCAGATGGTCAAAAAGAATTGATGCTATAACTGTGAACACTTTGATTGTAAATTTATCTTCTTTACCAAGCATAAATATGAAGCTTTGGATTGAAAATGTGACTTACCAAGGACAGATTGGGGTTGAAAGTATGTGGGAACAGTGACTCATCCACCCTGGCCATTTGTTCCTTACACTGAAACACAAGATAGATTGCGATCAATTTGCAGTTAAAACAGAGCATTTTCCAAGACATATATCATTTAAACAAAATTAGCATGCTCTACAATGCGATCAATGTTGACTAAGTCCATGTCCAGGGTCTAGTTTGACCACCTAGATATTCCAGGGATTCAACATAGTGAAGACAGTGCTTCATAATAATTTTCAGAATGAGGCATTCCTCAACAATAAAGCCTTCACAAATCTCGAGGTAATGGTTAGAATTAGTATTGAGTTTACCCTTTCACCACTGTAGACCATAATGGACTCATTCATGTCAATGCATGGTAGAGTCTACTAAAGTGACATAGGGGTGAAAGGGTTGATGAAAAGAGAAATGCAGATATAATCATTTCATCGTTGGGTTTCTACGCCTGTATCTGATTGCATGCAAACTAAATGTATGAATAGTTCTGTCGCATAAAAGTGCTACAAAGAAATGCAAATCGGCTTGTGGGCAAAATGACTGAAAATCTTGCTTTTTTAATCCTTCCTATGGAAAATAAATAAAAGTTTGCATTTAAATGCACTAAAATTCTAAAAATTTTGCTGAATATTTACATCTCTAGCTTCACTAATGTGTGGTGCTACATCGCATCTTTGCTGACATGGTCTAGGCAATTAATATATGACAAGATAAATAAACAGGCATTTAACTGTTTATACCATTTCAGCGGTTGTTAGCATAGTAACAGATCATTATTGTATTCATACCATTTGTAGCCAGTGTGGTGACACAATTATCTTGCCTTGGTCACGTGCCAATCGGAACTCTTTTGTCGTGTCATTTGCACGTCCCTGTAATAAAAAACAATAAACAAGTGATACTTGTCTCACCTTTACTCAAAATGGATGAATTCTATGTACACACAGTATTGAGAACGCAAGCTATATCTTACAAATTTTAGAATATTCACTGATCAACTTGTACTTAAATCTGTCTACACTCACATTTTTGTTTTAAACATGCACTGTATGTATTACACTAGTCGCTAACCATTATATGTATATGGAGTGTGTAGTTTGGTTCAGCAATTGCAATTACCTGTATGTAGCAAGCTTATAACTGTCTATACCTGAGATACCTGGTACATTTTGTATTTAACCAGTATAGGAGTAATTGTCAGCATTTTACCTTGAACATATAACGAGTTAATAAGTTGTTTGCCCTGACCAGGTTTCAGTGATTAAGTATGCCACTTATAAAATTGACATTAGGCTTCTAACAGACAAGGATTCATATGAAATGAGTGTAGACTGCCTTTGTGAATCAATATACATTCACACTCTAAAATAAAATACCTCTGACAGTTCTACAACAAATTACTGTCCTTACCTGGAATATGTAACAAGAACACTGCTGTCTGTAATGTGAGAAAGAGTGCTTTGTCCTTACCTGGAATATGTAGTGAGTGCTGAGTTGTCTGACCTTACCTGGAATATGTAGTGAGTACTTAGTTGTCTGCCCTTACCTGGAATATGTAGTGAGTACTGAGTTGTCTGCCCTGACCGTGAATATGTAGTGAGTACTGAGTTGTCTGCCCTTATCTGGAGTATGTAGTGAGTACTGAGTTGTCTGCTCTTACCTGGTATATGACGTGAGTATTGAGTTGTCTGCCCTTACCTGGAATACGTAGTGAGTACTGAGTTGTCTGCCCTTACTGGGTATATGACGTGAGTATTGAGTTGTCTGCCCTTACCTGGAATACGTAGTGGGTACAGGAATTGTCATATGACCAACGGTAGTCCCCTCCAAGGTCAGACACAATGTTGTTGAAATCAGATTGTTGAGATGATAACTTCTTATTGACGACAATGGTGACACCATGAAGGGGAGGGACCTCCTTGTCCACCTTTATGTGCATTAGAAATCAATGCAGTGTTGTAGGAAGAGTAACATGAATAAAATTGTACCAAAAGACAGAATGAAAATTCTATGTACTCTACAAAAAGCATCGAAGAGATCTAGAAACAATTTGCCAATTACAATAACAGATGTATCTAAGCAAAGACCAATCATATTTACAAACAAGTTCTTGTTTTGGATAGATATCGTCCAAAACTACCAATATGGGGTGGATTGAAAACTATAATTTCATTTCAGAAAGATCACCTTCAGTCTGAGGTACACCATCCTCAATACTCAAGGGGTTACGCTCACTTTCGCTCTCTGCGAACATCAAAAGAAACTCTCGGTCGCGTAACGGTAACTGGAATATCGAGGATGGAGGTATACTGACCTTTATTGGAGTTTTCTCAACAGCAGGCTGGCCTTCTTCCATGTTCTTCAGACCCTTTTCTATCTGTATAGTGTATAGCTCATCCAGAGGCTATATAAAACAGTAAGTACCAGAAATTCACACAGCTCCGTAAACATAAACCAACCATGATATCATTGCTACACACAGGCGGTCCTATTATTGTAACAATGTCCACTGGTGATGGAGCCATCCATGGTGCATTGTTACATTTGAATTGCGGAGCAAGACACTGCACTCAGTCACATTATTCTGACAAGGTGCTTGACTGATGTGTTTAATATGAAGACAGTCAAGAAAGAAAAGAAAACTTGAGATCACTAATGCACCTTGGGAAGCAAATCAATTCACTCAAGTCCTCTTTTTATCTTATAGAGGGAGCACTGAAGCAAAAATGATTTTACAAGGGGCCTTCAGATTATTTTATCATGATCAGGGATCTCCCCAGGGTATCCTCATATTATTTACTCATAATCAGGGTTTTCCTCAAAGGCTCCTCCAATTATTTTATCATGATCAGGGATATCCCCTAGAGCTATTGGATGCTCTGCATGGATTCGATTTCTGACTTGTGACACTAAAAACACATGTAATGTCAAATATGTTCCAGGTATTTTTCATCAAGACACCAACGTAAGTAGAGATCAATAAAATTTTAACACTAATAGATTAATTAAACCACTGTTTAGAGATGATGTAAAGCCGATCATTTTTGTCTATCTTGGTGTAATCTCGACTTACCAAGCTGGTCTTCCTCCTGCTGACTTTGCGATGCCCTTCTGGAGTCTCCAGTGAGGCCAGGGCATCCTACAACACAAAAAATGGCTCATGACAGATTTCTATTCCCAGATTGCTATTTGAAGCGTTAACTTCAAGTACCTTATTTCAAGAGATATCAGAACATTGCTTCACTGGACAATAGGTACTGAATGTTTCATCACTTTGATTCATAGGACAAATGGATTGTCATGCAATAAGTTCCTATTTCTACTTACGGTAAGATCAAACACAGGGTGGAATTCTTTGCTCAGGTCAAGGAAGCGCCCGGGAGAGGGAGTTTGGAGTCCTGTGCGGAACCTTGATCCGCCCTGTGGAGTGGTGTCCACCTCTGCCTGCAGGGCCTAAAAGTCAAAGCAGTACACAATGAATATGAATAGTGAGAGCTTATATTTAAGTTCATAGTATTGGATAAGATATTTTGCTCTACTTATTTAAGGTTAAATGTATATGGATATGTATGTATCCTAGGTTAAAATAAGTCTCATCTGGCACTTGAAATTTCTCATACCTGGCATATCCTTTCCTACAAGATTGATATCCTAGCACGCCAAAATTAGGACGTCTTCTCATCTTTTATTGACAGAAAAAAATAACTTACCTACTGCTGTAAAAGACAGACATGATGATATTCTGAGATACATGTATCAACATTCTTGACTATGATCAATCTCATCAGTGATTAATTACAAAATATCACCCCATCGTTAAGAAAATTCTGTATTTTACAAAGTATGTAAGAGATTCTATTTGTACCATTATATAGGGGAAATCTTCATTAATCTGTAGTACACCGTCTTTACCTTTACTCTCTCATTGACAGCAGCTTTGTTCACCCTGCTCACATTTTCCTTCTGACTTCCCTGATTCGGCTTGTCTACAGGACGTGATATAGACTCCTCTGTACCACTGTCCATCTGTCTACTACTTTCTTTAACATTCTCCAGCGTCCGTGCCACTTTACTGGGCCTGTTGTTGTCCTCTGTGGTTCCTGGACAGTCTAGAGTCGAGCTGGTGCGCTTCAGACTCTTTCTACCCCTAATTTCCTCTACTGGCACATTCACGGTACTGTCATTTGTTGGAACAGCTTCCTGTTTGTCCATTATGCTGTTCTGCTGTCGAACCTCCCCCCTCCCTACTAATGCCTCATCAGGCTTTCTATGATGTTCGGAGATTTCTACTTCTGCTGTCCTTGTGGAAGTTTCTTGTACCTCCATTTCAACTGAGTCAATGTTTTTATTGTCAATATGAAACTTTTCCTCTTTTTCTCTTTTCCCAGACTTAGCACAAGCAAACAACCACCTGAAATAATACACACAAAACACTATGATACCAGTAATTTGTAATTATGATTTCCACAGTGGAACATTTATCTATCAATTTCATTTCTATCACTCTGTAACATGAATATAATAATTAAGTCATGCATATATTAACTTATGCAAAAATTTCAGATCTGAATGATGAGTTAGCTTGACAGGAAAATAACTGGTACCTGTTTGACACGGCGGGGATGTTCCATTTCTTTGCAGCCTCGTACTTGGAGCCCTCTGCCTCGCGCACAATGAGATGGGTGCTTGGCTGGAGTCCCTTACTAGCCTTCCTTACGAAGTAGTCTTGACACCTGATAACAGACATGGAAGGCAAAAGGTGAAACAGTGCTAAACATTATAGTGATCTAAGTACAAACAAAAGTAACCCTTTATTATTTTGAATTTTTTTTTGTTATAATGAAAGTTTTAAGTCAACAAAATTAGTATTAACATAAATCTATGGATGTGGTACTATTTATCCCCGGTACCCAGAATTACTGGGTGGTATTTGTCAGAGGTAACTTACTTGGCCCCCAGGAGTTCAGCAATGTGCATCAGGCAGTCTCTCTCTGTCCCTGAGTAGCCACTGTTGGAGAGAAAACACAAGTTTTACTTTTTTGGAGGAAACTACAAAACTTCAGTTGAACACAAATCTGATTTTAATAACATTGAGATTACATATCAAGTTACAACCATGTAATGACACAATCATATACATTATAACCATGTATTAAATGTCACGATCATATACAATACCATAAAATACCTCAACCATATCATACCATGTTACAACCATATAGTACAATATTACAACCATATCATACCATGTTACAACCATTTAGTACAATATAACAACCATGTCATACCATCTTACAACCATATAGTACAATATTACAACCATGTCATAACATGTTACAACAATTTAGTACAATATAACAACCATGTCATACCATCTTACAACCATAAAGTACAATATTACAACCATATCATACCATGTTACAACCATATAGTACAATATTACAACCATGTCATACCATCTTACAACCATTTAGTACAATATAACAACCATGTCATACCATCTTACAACCATTTAGTACAATATAACAACCATGTCATACCATCTTACAACCATTTAGTACAATATAACAACCATATCATACCATGTTACAACCATTCAGTACAATATTACAACCATATCATAACATGTTACAACCATTCAGTACAATATAACAACCATATCATAACATGTTACAACCATTTAGTACAATATTACAACCATATCATAACATGTTACAACCATTTAGTACAATATTACAACCATATCATAACATGTTACAACCATATCATGATGTAGCAGACAACAGTGAAATACAATTAAGCTATGTAAGTGAGTTTGTACCTGATGGACAGAACACAGCCCGTCAGCTGCTGAGGCTCGAGATTAAGATCCAGAGGATGATACAGCTCGTTAGCGTCAGTCATCAAAGTGTCATGCTCCAAACAGATTTGCTGGGAAAAGAAAGACATTGTTTTAATAGAAAACAAGACCTTTACCTTTAAATCTTAAATATTTTTTATAGCCCCATGTCAAACGTCTTTTTGCATAAATGTGGCTACATTGAGACTTGCAGTGATTTTTTGGCTCAGTTTTACAGTCGATTACAGGCTGTTTCCCCTAGCTAAAAAATGCCATATTTTCCCAAAATGACCAAAAAATGAAGAATCTATTCCCAATTTCAATAAAAATAATGCTATGTTTTCCCAATTCATAAAGGAACAGGCTGTTGTTAAACTTAAGTAACAAAAACACTGCCCTGTGAGGTAGCTGTTCATTTGTTTATGCTACAAATGTCTACCCTAGGTTGATTTGGCGAAGCCCTACAGTGCTAATTGGCATAAACATCGTACCAGCCAGGCGTTGGTGACTACTTCACTTGCTGTCCTGTCTACAGGGAACCCGTCCAGGGGAACAACAGCGTAATCGAGTACCACGCGAACTTTGGGGTCAAACACTCGACCTGTAAAATGTACAATCATCGTATCATTTCAAATCCTTTTGTAAACATACAGGTAAACATTTTAGTGGACATACAGAACAGAAGCAGAAAGCATGGTATTGTAATCAATGATTTGTTTCTTCTCCCTTTCTCCGACAATAAAACACTATTTGAGGACCTAAGTGTATTCACATCTTAATTTCTTGTTAGTTAAGATCTCTTACATATTTATCACTTGTTAAGTGAAAGACAAAACAATAATTTGGTATTTCTTTTTTATCATAATATAAATTTAAATGCTATATACAGGATCAAGATAAACAATGTTAAACGTTAGAGTTGCTTCCCCTCAACCAAGAAGGGCGGACGCCATTAATAGCTATTATTACAAATCCTTTTACTTTTGTTGTTCATTTTCTACATTTTGATTAATAAACCATGTCAAATGTCTTCAATTAATGGTACACCAAAAACCTGGGACATAATTGAAATTATGAACTAGTTACTATTTTACATACTGAAGTTTACGTCTTCCATGCCACCAACTCACCTCGTCTCTCCACTATGAACTGAGTAAGCTCCTTCACTGCATCTTCTTCGAAGCCAAAGAACATGAAGGACTTTCTACGAAATATCGGTTTGGGACTTCCTTCCATGTCTGGGTCTTCTGTAACACACATACAGTGTTAAATCTAGACTGAGAAACTCATTCCCACTATAGCTACCTCTCCATGTGTCATTTTATACATCGGCTACACATTTCGGGCCTCAATTACATGTACAAGAAGAAAATTGAAGTCAAAGATATTTTGAGACTTAAGATGTTTGACACAAGAGGGACCAAGTTTTTAATCAAAGTAATATGTTAAAGTACTAACAGATAAAATACTGAGATACAGCTGTTTCCTTGTGAAGTAAGATGGTGGTCCTTTGGTTTAAATCTACGTAATAACTGACTAAAAACACCTGTAGACATGACACCATGTAGAGATGGTACAGAAATTATATCTTTACTACAGAGTGTTGACCTACCTGTGACGTCCCCTTCTCCAGCGGCCTCCTCCTCTCTCTCCCTGGGGGGTCCCTCTGCCCCTGGGGCGGGAGCACTGGGATCTTGGGTCTGGTCCTTATCTAACACCGTCGTATCCTGTGATCCTAGCCCTGTCACACGAGAACACAGCTAAGAGGTTGATAATTGATGACAATAGATAGACATGCAGTATACATGGGAATCCATGTCCATACCAATACCAGTCTGACACATATTCCACGCTGTCAATACATTTATTTTCAAACTTTTAATAAATATTGAAAGGAAGAAAAACTATCAGCTCATCTCAAGTAATATAGTTTTACATATTTATTTTTTTGAAAGTTTAGATAGAAGGTTTGTTTCATGCCTCAGATATCACAAGTTAACATTGAACCTGTGAGCTCAACAACCACTCAAGTCGGAACTCAACAAATCCTTAAATTTTGCGCAGTGATTGGTCATCATTGGCAGAATGACCAGTTTTTATATGCCTAAATGCCACTCCTTCGATTAATACAATATTGCATTCAAACCTTCAGAGATCTGGTTTTGAAATGGAAGCAACACTATTTATGTAGCAGTGTTAAAGTAACAAAATTGCTTTATAAACAATATTTTGTGTGTAATATTTTTGTTTGTGTATTTATGTAACAGTACGGAGAGGAAAACAATTTGCTCCTGTCAAGAAAAAATAGTTTTACACAGAAATATTTTTGGAAAGTTAAGATAGAAGGTTTGTTTCATGCCTCAGATATCACAAGTTAACATTGAACCTGTGAGCTCAACAACCACTCAAGTCGGAACTCAACAAATCCTTAAATTTTGCGCAGTGATTGGTCATCATTAACAGTATGTTTAGAACACAGTACTCATGCCACTCATTTTTCATAAAAGATATATTGTATTCAGATATGTAGAGCTTGGTTTTGAAACTGAAGCAAAAATATTTTTGTAGTATTTTTTCAAAATAACTTTAAAAGTATCACAATAGCCAAATATATGCTATTTTGTGTTTCATTTGTTGGTAGAGTAGTACAATTGCAGTATAAAAACTGGAAAGCTATTTGCTCATCTCAATTAAATATAGTTTTACATGAAATATTCCTTAGATTGTTTAGATAGAAGTTGTGTGCATGCCTCAGATATCACAAGTTAACACTGAACCTGTGAGCTCAACAACCACTCAAGTTGGAACTCAACAAATCCTTAAATTTTGCGCAGTGATTGGTCATCATTGGCAGAATGACCAGTTTTTATGCCTAAATGCCACTCCTTCGATTAACACAATATTGCATTCAAACCTTCAGAGATCTGGTTTTGAAATGGAAGCAACACTATTTAAGTAGCAGTGTTAAAGTAACAAATTGCTTTATATACAATATTTTGTGTGTAATATTTTTGTTTGTGTATTTATGTAAAGGTAAGGAAAGGAAAACAACTTGTTCCTGTCAAGAAAAAATAGTTTTACACAGAAATATTTTTGGAAAGTTAAGATAGAAGGTTTGTTTCATGCCTCAGATATCACAAGTTAACATTGAACCTGTGAGCTCAACAACCACTCAAGTCGGAACTCAACAAATCCTTAAATTTTGCGCAGTGATTGGTCATCATTAACAGTATGTTTAGAACACAGTACTCATGCCATGCATTTTTCATTTAAAATATATTGTATTCAGATATGCAGAGCTTTCGTTTTGAAACTAAAGCAAAAATATTTTTGTAGTATTTTTTCCAAAAATAACTTTAAAATTGTCACAATAGCTAAATATATGATATTTTGTGTTTCATGTTTCATTTGTTGGTACAGTAGTACAATTGCAGTATAAAAACTGGAAAGCTATTTGCTCATCTCAATTAAATATAGTTTTACATGAAATATTCCTTGGATTGTTTAGATAGAAGTTGTGTGCATGCCTCAGATATCACAAGTTAACATTGAACCTGTGAGCTCAACAACCACTCAAGTCGGAACTCAACAAATCCTTAAATTTTGCGCAGTGATTGGTCATCATTGGCAGAATGGCTGATACATGGTTTGCATGCCATTGACTTTTTTCATGAACAAACCATTCAGATTGGTATGTCTTGCCATTGCCCCACCTTGACCATCAATGCACATATCAGATAAACTAACTTAAACGCAAAAACTTAATGTTGATGGACATGCTGACAAAGTCAATGGACCATGAAAGGTAGGCCGCATCCAGCATTTGATGCATGGGTTGAGATGTACTACCTAAGGCCAAATAAAATTAATTACTTGGTTCTCAGGCCAATATTTTTCAAAAGAGATGTGGGAGGGCGGTATTTTTTTTCCTTCATATTAAATGGCAAAAACGAGACGAGGGCAATTGTATTTTATAGTGTAGTTTGTAAAACGTTCATTGTGGGCATTACCTTGTCTTTTTATAGTTGTGTAGAGACACGGCATAGAGCAAGCCTCCGAAAATCCCCCCACGATGTTCCAGACAAGAATCACGAACCCCCCATTCCTTATTTGTACCGAAATGAGCGCCATTTGTACACAAGACTAATAAGTCATAATAATTTTAACACTTGCCTGTATATCAATCCTTAATNCACTCCTTCGATTAACACAATATTGCATTCAAACCTTCAGAGATCTGGTTTTGAAATGGAAGCAACACTATTTAAGTAGCAGTGTTAAAGTAACAAATTGCTTTATATACAATATTTTGTGTGTAATATTTTTGTTTGTGTATTTATGTAAAGGTAAGGAAAGGAAAACAACTTGTTCCTGTCAAGAAAAAATAGTTTTACACAGAAATATTTTTGGAAAGTTAAGATAGAAGGTTTGTTTCATGCCTCAGATATCACAAGTTAACATTGAACCTGTGAGCTCAACAACCACTCAAGTCGGAACTCAACAAATCCTTAAATTTTGCGCAGTGATTGGTCATCATTAACAGTATGTTTAGAACACAGTACTCATGCCATGCATTTTTCATTTAAAATATATTGTATTCAGATATGCAGAGCTTTCGTTTTGAAACTAAAGCAAAAATATTTTTGTAGTATTTTTTCCAAAAATAACTTTAAAATTGTCACAATAGCTAAATATATGATATTTTGTGTTTCATGTTTCATTTGTTGGTACAGTAGTACAATTGCAGTATAAAAACTGGAAAGCTATTTGCTCATCTCAATTAAATATAGTTTTACATGAAATATTCCTTGGATTGTTTAGATAGAAGTTGTGTGCATGCCTCAGATATCACAAGTTAACATTGAACCTGTGAGCTCAACAACCACTCAAGTCGGAACTCAACAAATCCTTAAATTTTGCGCAGTGATTGGTCATCATTGGCAGAATGACCAGTTTTTATGCCTAAATGCCACTCCTTCAATTAATACAATATTGCATTCAAACCTTCAGAGATCTGGTTTTGAAATGGAAGCAACACTATTTAAGTAGCAGTGTTAAAGTAACAAATTGCTTTATGAACAATATTTTGTGTGTAATATTTTTGTTTGTGTATTTATGTAAAGGTAAGGAAAGGAAAACAACTTGTTCCTGTCAAGAAAAAATAGTTTTACACAGAAATATTTTTGGAAAGTTAAGATAGAAGGTTTTTTTCATGCCTCAGATATTACAAGTTAACATTGAACCTGTGAGCTCAACAACCACTCAAGTCGGAACTCAACAAATCCTTAAATTTTGCGCAGTGATTGGTCATCATTAGCAGTATGTTTAGAACACAGTACTCATGCCACTCATTTTTCATTTAAAATATATTGTATTCAGATATGCAGAGCTTTCATTTTGAAACTAAAGCAAAAATATTTTTGTAGTATTTTTTCCAAAAATAACTTTAAAATTGTCACAATAGCTAAATATATGATATTTTGTGTTTCATGTTTCATTTGTTGGTACAGTAGTACAATTGCAGTATAAAAACTGGAAAGCTATTTGCTCATCTCAATTAAATATAGTTTTACATGAAATATTCCTTGGATTGTTTAGATAGAAGTTGTGTTGTGTGCATGCCTCAGATATCACAAGTTAACATTGAACCTGTGAGCTCAACAACCACTCAAGTCGGAACTCAACAAATCCTTAAATTTTGCGCAGTGATTGGTCATCATTGGCAGAATGGCTGATACATGGTTTGCATGCCTTTGACTTTTTTTATAAACAAACCATTCAGATTGGTATGTCTTGCCATTGCCCCACCTTGACCATCAATGCACATATCAGAGAAACTAACGTAAACGCAAAAACTTAATGTTGATGGACATGCTGACAAAGTCAATGGACCATGAAAGGTAGGCCGCATCCAGCATTTGATGCATGGGTTGAGATGTACTACCTAAGGCCAAATAAAATTAATTACTTGGTTCTCAGGCCAATTTTTTTCAAAAGAGATGTGGGAGGGCGGTATTTTTTTTCTTCATATTAAATGGCAAAAACGAGACGAGGGCAATTGTATTTTATAGTGTAGTTTGTAAAACGTTCATTGTGGGCATTACCTTGTCTTTTTATAGTTGTGTAGAGACACGGCATAGAGCAAGCCTCCGAAAATCCCCCCACGATGTTCCAGACAAGAATCACGAACCCCCCATTCCTTATTTGTACCGAAATGAGCGCCATTTGTACACAAGACTAATAAGTCATAATAATTTTAACACTTGCCTGTATATCAATCCTTAATTTTATTCAAACGTTTTCGGGACTTGGGTGACTAACGAGTAAAAACGACATGCGGACCAATTTTTGCAGATTTTTTTAAAGACGGCGCCTGGCGCATTCACATTTTTTTTTTTTGATTTCTTTCACAAAAAAATCGGCAATGCGGTGCCCTAAAAATGAAATGTGCGCGGACCTGAGAACCAAGTAATCATTTTCTTTTGGCCCAAGTCATGGTCCAAGTTTGCTTGGTCTAGCACTTATACTTTAAGCGAAACTAAGTTAAACGCAAAAACTCAATGTTGACGCCGCCGTCAGAAAAGCAGTACCAGTCTTGCTTCTGCTACTTCGTCGAGGCAAGACAGAAACTATTATATAGTATAATTCTTCCAACTACTTTTATGAAAGTTGTGTGCATGCCTCAGATATCACAAGTTAACATTGAACCTGCAAGCTCAACAACCACTCAAGTCGGAACTCAACAAATCCTTAAATTTTGCGCAGTGATTGGTCATCATTAGCAGTATGTTTAGAACACAGTATTCATGCCACTCATTTTTCATAAAAAAATATATTGTATTCAGATATGCAGAGCTTTCGTTTTGAAACTAAAGCAAAAATATTTTTGTAGTATTTTTTCCAAAAATAACTTTAAAATTGTCACAATAGCCAAATATATGATATTTTGTGTTTCATTTGTTGGTACAGAAGTACAATTGCAGTATAAAAACTGGAAAGCTATTTGCTCATCTCAATTAAATATAGTTTTACATGGAATATTCCTTGGATTGTTTAGATAGAAGGTTTGTTTCATGCCTCAGATATCACAAGTTAACACTGAACCTGCAAGCTCAACAACCACTCAAGTCGGAACTCAACAAATCCTTAAATTTTGCGCAGTGATTGGTCATCAATGGCAGAATGTCTGAGACTTATATTTATCTACTTCTGGACAGATTGATACTTGTATTTAGTATTTAGATACTGTCAGATAGTTGATACATGTGTTTACATATTGCTGGATTACCCAATACCTGTATTTCTGTACAGACGGAAACAATAATGCTTTACTTGATTTGGAAACAATGTTTGTACTGTGCAACAATCTCTTACCACCTAGACTTCATCAACTAGTACAGAATTATGCAGATTATAAAGTGGTAATGATAATATCAAAATATTGATGACATTGTAGTTATCTTTTCATAAAGGTGCCTAACCGACAACTTCTATCAATCCATGTGCCCTGTGACTACCACTCCCTAAGCCTTGTGACCAGCTTATCATGGTCCTATCAATCCATGTGCCCTGTGACTACCACTCCCTAAGCCTTGTGACCAGCTTATCATGGTCCTATCAATCCATGTGCCCTGTGACTACC